TTTAAATCATATTTATCTGACAAGAATTCCGTTTTTTCACATAAATTATACATCTTCCTCATGCTCAAGGGTTACCTGTGGAGTACCACAGGTATCGTAGTGCTAGAACAAATTATCTTTACTGAATATACATGCTCCCAATTAGAAGAATTCTTAGACGTGATTAATTTCAACTGTAACGCTGAGGATACTCGGCTATATCTGTCAATAATTCCTGATGAAATTAAGCCTTTACATCAACTACAGGCTTGTCTTGAAGAAAAAATCCTGGAGGACCCTTAACTTTCTACTTCTGAATGCAGACAAAACACAACCTATTGTCTTTCGACCAGAGTCTTTGAAAAACAAGCTTATTAGTCAGTCACTTTTTGGATGGGATTAAATTGATCTCAGATAATAAAATAAAAAATCTTGGGGTTATTTCTGATCAAGACCTGTCATTTTAATCCCATATCTAAAAGATTTCATTAATCTCTGGAATATTGTAAAAATCTGAAATATCCTGTGCTGGGGTAATGCTCAGAAACTAGAATAGAATTCAACTTTATTGTCATTCCACTGTCACAAGTACAAAGCAACAAAATTAATTCTCTGCATTCAACCCATCCCCTTGGGGAGCAGTGGGCTGCCATTGTATGGCGCCAGGGGAGCAGTGTGGGGTTAAGGGTCTTGCTCAGGGAGCCAGAGTGACAGTCTGTGGGAGTGGGGGATCAAACTCACAACCTCAGGATTCAAAGCCCTATGCCCTAACCACTAGGCTGCCACCTCCCTAGTCCATGCATTGCTTACTTCGAGGCTGAATTATTGTATTTTTTTACTATCAGGGTGTCCACAAACTTAAAAGCCTTCAGCTGATCCAAAATGCTTCTGATGAAAATTAAAAAGAGAGGTCATATTTCTTCTATCCTGGCATCTCGTCATTCTTCATTGGCTTCCTGTTACAGTAAATACAGAATAGATACAAAACCCTCTGTCACACATAAAGCCTTAAATGTCCATGCTCCATCTTATATCAGAGATCTGATTATTCCTTGTGTTCCTAACAAAGCACTTTGCTCTAAATCTGCGGTATTACTAGTGGTTCCTAGAATTTCTTAAAGAAGCATGGGAGGCAGATCTTTTAGTTATTAGGTTCCTCTCCCGTGGAACCAGCTACCTGTTTTGCTCTTAGAAGCAGACACCCTGTCTACTTTTAAGGTTAGCCTTAAAACTTTCCATTTTGATGATGCTTATAGTTAGTGTGGCTCAGGTTACCCTGAGCTATCTCTATAGTTATAATGCTATAGGCTTAGACTGCTGGAGGACATAGGGACACCTTTCATCATTCGGATTTATTCAGTGCTGTTTCTCTTTAGCCTCTTTCCCACTGAAATTAGTGGGTATTTCAAACACAGGTGCCCTCTGTCCACCAACCCACAGACATAATTTTAGGGCGGGGGGTGGGTGGGGGGGAATTTTTTGAAAGTCTATTTTGGTCCCCTGCAGTTTTTACAGTCCACATAAAATATTACACTACAGTACATCGGCACTCGTTGAGCTCTAGGACCAAGCAGAAGGGATAGCAGACATGCAAGAGAAATTGGAGGTAACAAACACAGAAGAACAACTAGAAAAAAGGCTGAACTTATATAGAAATAGCTACAGTAAACTATATAACATAGGTCGCTTGCCAGGTTTTTTGACCAGGGTAGACACGTGTCAGTGAGCCATTCCCAATGGCGCTAAACGCCGATCAACAGGTTTAAATGGGTGGGGACCAGTGGGAACAGTTTGACTAACTGTATGTGCTCTATTTTATCCTCTGAAATGGGAGCTGGCTCAGAACCTTGTCTGCCTGGTTGTCTTTCCTGTAGGGAACCACCTGTGGAGGTGGATACATTTTATATTTCTGCTTCTTTCTGTGGGTCTGCTTCTGTCTCCTTGAACCACAGTCGGCCTCAGCAGATGGTCGCTTAAACTGAGCCTGGTTCTGCTGGAGGTTCTTCCTGCTAAAATGGCATTTTCCTCTTCACTACTGCTGCTACAAGCATGCTTGGTGTGAAGGATTGCTGACGAGTGAATGAGCCGATGCAATTAGCTGGTTTTACTTAAATAACTTTGAACCTATCTGACTACATGATCTGATTGAATTGTCTCTGTAAAGTGCTTACGATGCCATATGTTGTTTATTCACGATATATAACTTATCTGAACAATAGGTATTTGCTGACATTTTGTCCCTATTTATAGGACAAAATCTTCAGCAGAACTAGTGTGCTCCGTGAGAGCGGCCCCTGCCATGGTCAACTGGGGGCTCAAGAAGACCTAAGCAGAAACACAGAAGGAACATAAAAACTCTGATCCATAAATACTTTCTATGTGAGAAAATGTGACAGTAGACTGACTCCATAGGTAGCTGTGTCTAGAAAAAAAGACTGTTAAGCAGATGGCTCTGTTTTCAAATAAAAAAGGTTAAAGAGAGCACATACAAGTAGTCACAGTAAAAGCGGAGCCCATAGCTATCCTTAGTAGAAAAACTGGACAAAGCACAAAAAACAGGTCCACAAACTCAGGTCAGTGACTTCAGAACTTAGATGGGAAATGATAATGAGCATGAGAGTCACCATCCTGGTAAAGTTCAGTCTGAGCCCAGAAGAAGGAGTGAAGTCCGGAGGAGTGGTAACTCCTTAGCTTGTGACAGAACCAATTCTAGTGATCCAGGAGAGAAGTGGAGCAGCAGCCAGAGCATGCAGAGGAACAGAAGGGTCCAGAGGGATAATTCAAGCCAGGGTCAGAAGACAGGTCCAAGGTCAATAACAGTCAAAATCTAGGTAACAGCCTGGAAATAGATCAGGCATACAGAGCAGAACAGGAGCAACCAAAACTCAGAAGTCTGGGTGCAGAAACAGGTCAGGATGAGGCAGTCAAAAACCAACAGGGTACGCTATACTCTCACACTCAGCTCAAATAATCCAGCACCAATGGTGAAGAACAGGTAGCTTAAACAGAAGCAGGAAAAGGGGCTCTGATTAGAGACATTGAGCACTGGGCGGAGCAAAGCAGAAGTGAAAATAGACCCAAATCCAGCCATAGGCACCAAGATCATGACAGAACCCCCTCCTCCCCACCACAGACGGCACCTACAGATAAAGTCAGTGGCCGGCTTTCTACTACTTACCTCAAGGGGGTAGAAGTGAGCAGAAGTGGGTAAATGCCAAAGCCAGCCATAGGTGCCAAGATCATGACAGTTATTGGCATTCAGGGCTGGGTCCTTAGGTGTCTCCTGGCTGTCTCTAGATGGTGGCTTGGTACTATACTTTACTCCATGGCTATTTTGGGTTTCATCTGAGTGTGAAATGCTTTTGGATCTTGAGACTCATGACTGGATCTGGCTGGGGAGGGGTCTTTGCCGAACCTGATTGTTTTACATGACCTAATTAAAAACACATTCTCTCACAAAAAAGTTGGTCAAAATTTGTATATATGCAGATTCTTTCTTGTAAAAATGTTGTTTTACAACATAAGGAACAATGGTAAATGTCAATGTAAGTCGATGATGTAGGAAGTGCAGCATAGAAACCCCTTCAATAACGATGCGAAATGTAACATGGTCATGTTATTTTGAAGAGATAACAATCTTCATCTGAACTCATAAAAAAAGATTGTCTACTTTCACTGAAAAAATATCATTAAAAAAGAAAATAAGCAAGAAGGTTCCGGGTTCGATTACCGGCCCAGGGTCTTTCTGCTTGGATTTTTCATGTCCTGCCTCAGCATGCATGAGTTCTCTCTGGGTACTCCGGCTTCCTGCCACAGTCCAAAAACATGACTGATAGGTTAATTGGCTTCTCTAAATTCTCCTTAGGTGTGAGTGTGTTACGGCCAGTGGCCTTTTCTGTGTTTGTGTTTATTTTATTTTTTTTCAGAGGCCTGATCAAATTGACTGCACCTGGAAGCGGATGTTTTCCTGTGACACACCTTGGGGCCTACTGTGATTGGATCACCAATTGCTTGCTCCACTAATCATTGTTGAGGCCTCCATTTAAAACCAAAGGACTTCCTAGGGGAAGGCGCGGCTGATCCTTTGTTCAGACAGCTTGCCATTTTGTGGGGTGTAGGTTTGACTGCTGTAAAACTTGTGTTAGCTTTGATAGCTTACAGTAGTCCGCTCTAACAGATTTTGTTAACCTTGATTTCTTGTGTAACTTGCTTTGTCCCGGTGGGGGAACTTTGAAACGCCATTAGAGATTTGTATTTTAGTTTTTGTTTAACTTGTTTTGAGAGATCAATTTATTTGGTTAAGTTCTTTGATTTACATCCCTGTTTTGTGGATTTTGTTTTAGTGAATACTCTGTTGTTGAGAGTCCCTACGTTTTGATTCCAAACAATAAATCCTTAAATTGTTAAAACCTTACCACCAGGGTTTCTTTAATGTTACTTCCTTTTTCCCTGGCTGAGCCGGGTCGTAACAGTGTGTGTGAATGGTTGTTTGTCCTGTTTGTCTTTGTGTTGCGCTGCGATGGACTGGCGACCTGTCCAGGGTGTACCCTGCCTCCCGCCTGTAGACAGCTGGAAAGAGGAACCAGCACCCCTTGCGACCCCACTTGGGAAAAGTGTGATGGAAAATGGGTGGATGGATGGATAATACTTCTTACAAATGTAATTAGAATGCATGTAAAGAAAGTTTTTTTTTAAATGATGAGTTTTTCAAGCTCAATTTTTTTGCCGTTCAGATGAATGCAAGGCAATCTTAATTAATAGTCCAACGACATTCTGTATTTCTCTGTGTGTTAACTGTTATAGTTCTCCACAAAAGAGCTGGGTTGATCAGTAACAGCTTGGCTGCATTTGACAGAGTGCAATCATGTCAGCAAGCTCCAAGAGATGTAAGATCTGCCTCACACCAGCACATACACCTGATTGTCCACCTATGTGTGGGAAAATCAAGCTTCCTCTCATATACTTTCTTTATGAAGGCACTAAGTTTCTTTGCTTGCATTTCCTCTATTTCCTAGAGCAGTTCTTTTAAGTTTGCTGTCACCGTCAGAGATCAGATTCCTCAAGCACTCTATCTTTCTTACAAGAATGGACTCACTTGGAAACTCACCTGGCTGTCCCTTGCAGCTCTACTTCTCAAGTCATCTACTATCACCATCTGCCTGTCCACGCTCCCGCATTTAATCATGAAGATTCCCTGCAGAAAGGAAACCATTTAGGAACGATGCCACCTTCCACAACATGTTTCACTGCAGGCGGCTTGGAGCAAAGAGAGTTCTCCCCAGAGCCTTGACCTAACCCCCACTTCAAGTAAGAGCATTCATTATGCTCCCCAACAATACTACTTGAATTTCATCTGCACTGGTCTACTTCTTCTCCTTTTACTTCTAGATTGTGATCTGCAAAACAAATCCATAGCCATTGGATAAAAATACTTTCACAGAGTCTTCGGGATAATAAATCTGATTCACTGATACTGGTGACTTATGTCCGATTTTAGAAAAACAAAAAATCAAAACATGGACGGGAACAAAATAATAGATTGATGAGAAGAAGGCCCTCCAACCTCAACGACATGGAACTCATCACTGAAGATATATAATCCAAATGACCATAAAAACATCAAAAATCAAATAAAATTTGCTGCTGTAATATGAGTCATCCAATGAAAGGGTATTCATACTGACAATCTGTTTTTGTAATAATATATTTTTTAAAAATCGATAATTTTAAGACAGATTTTTTTCTTTTTTTTAAGTGACTGTCTAATTTACTGTAAAAAAGGTAATAATTGGTTGATAATACCGAGTGTACCCAGTACCCATTGTATTTGTCTGTATCATTGTTGTATTATCAGTGTTCTAAGAGTGCATTTTTAAGACTTCACAGCTAAAAAACCTATTTGCATTGATATTAAATGATCCATGTCATTAAAAGGTCTGTAATCTGAGAGCTGAAATACCTCTTTTCCTTCTTTGGCAGCGCTGTTTTTGACAAAATTACTGTCAAAAAACGCAGTGGTTATCCAATGGACAATTACTTTTTAAGAGAGGTTGCACAGCTCATTCCCAGTTTCCTAACATTAGTTCACTCCCCCCAACATACAGTACAAAGCCTCTTATGACCACATTAATGCAACTAATTACCATGTCAATCACAAGTAATGCTTATTAATTGCCCCTCAGAAAGAGGCTATATCAAACAGAGAGAAGTGCCTTTAAAAGCCTGCTGAAAGGCTGACTGTGGGGTAGGTTATGGAAGAGAGAGAGCTCTGTTTCAGGCCCACTGCTGGCATTAGTCAATCTGCTGTCCAGATGTCTTCCACAGGTGACAGCTGCAATAGCCTAACAAGCAAATTAATCACGGAGCTTTTGTGGCGCTTCATTTTAGGGAAACTCATTTCATTTCATAAAAGGCTTCATCTCGTGTGAAAAATGACAAATTGCGGCCATGGAACGATGTAGAGGACCGAGCAGCCGACTCATTTCTGCAGCATGCCTGCAAGGTACCGAAGAATAGAAAGGCAAGGAGAGATAGAGTGAGGGGAGAACTGGGCCAGAACCAACGACACAGTAATGAAGCCCGCTCTGCCCCTGTGGGCTGGAGTTCTGACGAGCCTCACAGGTGGCGCAGTCAGATTAAAACTTTGAATGAGGGGGTGTGCTCCACAGTCTGTCACTCATTCTTCCACAATTACAACACTGGAAGACATTTAGAAAAGCTGGCCCTCACATGTGTTTGATGTTGGGGACATTTACTTGATTTAAGCACAGATGGATTGTATCTTAGTGCCTTCTGTGGTTACCAAAATGTTTAATCTCAAACTTTATAGGTCATTTGGGAGCAAAAATTTGGAGCATGTTTCTTTATGAAACAGCCACGTTTGGATGATTGAATCTAAAACAAATAGTCACACCTTGGAAATTATATATTTCTAAAAATAACAGCGCTGTCATTTATTTCACACCTGTTGCTTTAAAATCAGTTATATCAAGGATACGATGGGTTTTTACTATAATGTTTTTTTTGTTTTGATTTTGTTCTTTTTGTTTTGTTTTGCTATTTCAAGATGAGGCTATTCTTAACTCTTTGAAATAGAACCCTCCAAAAAATCTTGAACAACCCATGTAGTAAGTCAAATATTTCAAAGTAGCATGTTGGTGAACATAAAGGAACAATGTTGGATATGTCTCACATACAGTACTTGGACATAAGTACTGTATGTCTCTGCTTAGGAGAATAACACTATGACAGCATAAGAGTTAAATGTTTAAATACACAAATGTGTTGGCTTTGGAAAGATTTAAAACAATGTTTGTTAATGTCGTTGTAGGAGAATAGAAATCCATTGTGAAACTTGTCCTAGTCTGAGTGGTCAGATTAAATTGGTTTAAGACTTATGTATAGAAGATAAAGCCTTACAGCAGCTGAAAACCAATCTAGCTTGTGAAGATACAAGCTGCGCTTTTGAAATTAAAATATATTTACATGAAGTGGCCTGTGGTTATATTCTGTTATCACAATATACATTAATGTACTGTTGCTTTAAATGCTTCTTTTTTTAAGAACTATGTCCTACATACCCAAATGAAAACCAAAAAAACCCTTAATTCAGTGCTTTGAGAACAGAAGGTCGAGAGACCTTTGTTTTAATTGACAACAAAACCTCTTTGTGAAAATTATTTCTTTTGACGTGAAGAAAAAAACTTTGAGAAGGAGCTAGATTCAAATTTAACCTATTTGACAAACAGACTGACCTCCAAGACAAACCAAAAGTCTACCTCATATAATACATGGAAATTCAACATTATATCCATATTTTTCAGAGTTCATGAGCTGTGAAAATATTTTACTGCAAAACATGAGAAGAATGTTACAAAAAGTATTGAAAATTGAATTGCCATACAGAAGCAACGAATTAAACTTTTTGGATTTAAAAGCTTTAGAAAGCCATTAATACAAGGAGGAGATAAATCCTTGAAAGCCGTCCAACAAAAACTATAATTATCATTGTCACAAGAAAAGAAAAGAGCACATGGAGGCGAGAGGATTACACTCCTACAGAACAGAAAGAACGTTCTGTGTTTATTTCTCCTCAATTGTCAAAAGAAATTCTGGGGTGACAGATGTCAGCAACACTTTATAATTTAGGACAATTATCATGTTCGCTCTATTCTACAGGTGCATATTGTCTTCCACCTCTATTCCTCAAATTCTCACTTCAACAAGCTCTTTGTTTAAAGACATTCATCTTCAGCCTCTTGAACATTTGACCATGGCAGGGAGCTCTTTGCTTAATGGATTAACAGAAGCAAATTCTTGGTGATACATTGAATGTTGTTCAGTATAACTGAAAACTTATTTCTTTTATCCCTACTGAAGCTTTCAATAAAGTTTTTTGGTGAATTTAATCTGTGCAGTTCAAGAAGCTTAAGCAGCATTTCATACAGATTTTATTGTTAATATTTTCTTTTGAAAAGTGCTTCCACAAGAAAAAAATAAAAATTCCCTGTCAAAGGCACACATTGATTCGACTAGCACCTTGTCTGTACACTGTATATTTCTTGCATTATACAAGAATATCAGAGTTCAGTTTTGAATTGTATTGAGGGTTTTACGTGCAATTCAGAAATCTTGTGAAGAAAATATTGAAAAGGAGTTTACATATACATAACACCCAAGGATCTATTCTTAAGGTGAGGCTTTTTATAAGGCTTTAAACTATATTAATGGTTTTACATCCAAATAAGCACATTAAGTGCTTTTATAATAACCTGCATAGAGATAGGAGGATACCTGATAAACCAAAAGGAGATGTTTGAACATTGACTATACAAGTGTTAGAATTTTGGTCACATCTTGCCTTTGGAGATGGTATTGTACCACAGTGTCACTAGAGCCCTGATCCTCAAATGCAAATTTTTGACAATTCAATTCAGTTTATCTATACAGTGCCAATTCACAACACATGTCATGTAACAGCACTTTAATTCAACCAGGTAATACAGTCAAATTAATTCAAAGTTTTCTATCAAAGGAAAACCAATTGATTGCATCGACTCATTGACTTGAAGGCAATCCCTCACACTAAGCATGCTTGTAGTAACAGTGGAGAGGAAAAAAGCCCTTTTAACAGGACGAAACCTCCAGCACAACCAGACACGGTGTGAGCGGCCATCTGCCGAGGCCGACTGGGATTCAAAAGATTGAACTAAAACTTCTGACTCCTCAAAGTGGTCTTACTGGTATATATGCTCTTATCAGGACAGCCTGTTCCACACATCTTTAAACAGTAAAACTGATAAAAACAAGAAGGGTGGTAGGTGAAAGTCACCCAAGAAGCCTTCTATAAATGACCCACTAAAGTGCAGTCAAGATCTGAAGGAAAATATTTGCCAGAACAGAGCAGGTTGATGATAACATTTTCACTTCACCTCCTGTTATTGTTATAAAACATAATTGTTCAATACTTCAGTTTATAATATGACAGGCTAGAAATATAGCATGATTAATCTTTTAGATAGTGTGCGAGGTCTTGCAGATTTCAGATAATTGACTTTTGCTGTGGAGGATTTTGTAGGAATGGCAGATGTCCACTTTTGTCCCTGGTAGAGGGAAGTAAGCAAAAACAGAAAATGAGTGGGAAAAACCTCATGCATGGCTTGAAACTTGAAAAACAGAAGAGAAACAAAGTCTCTAATATTTACAAAGCTAGACAAGCTTATATGAGTGAGATTCAACTTCAAAACTGAACAAAACATGGAGATAAGTCACTACCACATTAAATTATTTGAAAACACATCTCAACTATTTAACCTGGTCGCAAAACAAAAACAGAGAAGCATGTTAAGTATAATGCTGCCTTTCACCTGGCTACCTTAAGATTAGGTATGACAAGGTCACTGGAGAAAAACTGTCCCTTTCATTTTAGATCGTTTCAACAGATAAACTACTATGGATCAAACAAAGGCAAGTGTTATATTTACAAAAAACACTGATATTATTTGGGAAAATACTCTTTCAACTTACAAAACAAAACTGAAACTTCTTGTGAATTAGCACAGAGCATCAATTTTGTGATAAATCATAGTCATTGTTGCACGATACAGAAGAGGGTGATAGAGGATGCCTAGCAACCACTTGTTCACTTTTCATAAGTTTTGTTACAAATAAAATCCTTACTTTCATTTGCAAACCTCAGTGGAGAAACATCTATTTCTTAAAAATTTTAGTTAAATCATGCATGTTATTCGAATATTGCAAGTCTTTCGAAATTGTCAGCTTAATTTTTACAATCCAAGTGCTTCTAGACCTGGCCTAGAAACAAGGGTTCTTGAACATTTTTACTTTTAAACTGTAACTCAATTTGTTTGTTGTTACGTTCCCAGTTTATTTCAGAGGTTAACAGCATCATAAAGCAGAGAGAAGTTTATATCCATTATTGCCACATTTCCTGTGGGTCAGCTGACCAACCAGCAGACATCAAGCCCCTAATGACAGGCTTCTAATGGTGACAAAAAAGAAGACAAATCATTTTAGAAAAATATTGACAGAAGTGACAAAAGTGCATAACAGCATGTTTATACAGCGTGTAATTTCAACTTTTCCAGTAGACTTCATCAAAATTATACACATGCAACAGAGAATAATTACATTTTTAATTTGGATTAAAAAAAATATAAAACACTTTTTTGTTAATATGTGATAACATTCATCTTTATGAGAAAAAAGCATCACTGCGTTTTATCTTTCAAATTAAGTCTCTCTTTTGGTGAGATTAATTATCGTGTTTTGCATTAAGTCAGTTTTAATTTTAATTCATAAATGGCTGCATGGGCAACACTTGAACAATGGGGATAGTTCTGAGATTGTCTGTGCGTAAGAGGGCCGAGTGAGACAGTGCAGGAAGTGGACCAGTGTTGACTTGAAGATATAGCAATATGCACAAAAAAAAAAAAC